TATCACAAAAGTAAAAAGTTTTCTGTTGTCAAATCTTTTGATTTGTTTGATTGCTTGCTAGCTTTAACACTTTTACCCAGATAAATATTTTTCTAACTCTAAATATACCTATTGCAGAAAATTTAGAAAATCTAGAAAATGCAAAGAAGAAAATTAAATCCCTTCTGATTTCCCCCATCCAAAAATGACCACAGTGAATACTTTGGGGTGGAGTTGTACATTATTTTATTTTTGTATGTATACTTTTGTTCTCTTAGTAAGCCACATCACAAGTCTACACTGTTGCCTGATTTTTAAACTTACCCATATATTATAAATATTTCTCCGGGACAACAGTCATGCTGTAGATGCACTTTTGTACAGAAATGTATTTTATGTAGTTTTTCCTAAAATGACACTGCATAGAAGTGGAGGCTATGGTATTAAGTACTGAGTCAGCAAAGGCATTCCTTAGCTAAGCTACTATCAGACCAGCTGTGTTACTTGACTGTTGTGATTTAACTTGGTTTAGTGATAGCAATCTAGGGGAATGGAAGATTTGCTTGGCACTCTCGAATTTCAACTGTCTTATCTGGGCTTTAGCAAGAGTCGGATATCAGTCCATTGAAAATGAGCTTTCTGGCAAGGGCCTTTGCAAATACTCTGCTGTTTCAATTAAGTAAGAGCTCGTTGCTTCTGGTAACAGATGTGTTGATGGCAAAGTCGACATTTGCTTATGAAAATTAAGGAACTTGACTGTCTCTGTTGCAGAGGAGGGCTAGCTTGCTTCTTCAGCAGCATCTCCTTCAATTCTGTGAAGTTATTAATGCATACCCTCCTCCTTCCTAAGCATGATGAATCATGATTTATGTTCCGGAACTCCTTCACTTTGTGGAGCTGTTGAAGTTAAAGGCACCCTAATTGAAAAGTTCACAATTTCAAAGATTGGAGGGTTTACAAAGACTTCATATGGAGAGATTTCCTTCAAACCGCCAGTCATTTAGAACAGAAAAGGACAACATGAGGTTTTTCCTTGGGTTACCTAAAATGGAATAGACGGTAATTGGGTGGAGTTACCATAAAACTGCAGAGAGGCTTTTAAGGATGGTTTGAGGTTAGATTGTCTGTTTTTAAAATTAATTGGTTTCTCTTCTTGGACAAATTACACCATTTCCAGTCATGGTCGAGGCATTCATTGTGCCTGTGATGGCTGCACTGCCAGCGCTCCCCTCGCTGTGTTCTGTCCTGTGGGGTCACGTGGGAAGCAGGGCTGCACGAAAGTAACTTTTGATCCTCTGTCTAATTTGAAAGATTATGGCATTTTAAAGTGAAAATACTCTTAAAATTTTAATTCTTAGACTCCTACCCTATAACATTGCCTGAGATTGATAGTAAAAGAGAATTCTAATATATAACTTGAGGATCAGGTTTTTAGCCAGAAATGTGAGAAGCATTTTCCACAATACCTCTGCCCCAGCATCTCATCTTTAAGACTGATTGTTCCATGTTCAGCCCCCGCACATGTTCAGCCCCCGCGCTCCCATTTCCCTTGGTTTTTCTTTCACGACCTTATTTTGTTTGCAAACTGCTACCTTCCCTAATGATAAATCTTATCTACCTAGTGCCAGGCAGGCTTCTAAGCACTTTACATATAATGACTCATTTAACCCTCACAGCAACACTGGCATGCAGGTACTATTATACCTGCAGTTTACAGGTCAGGAAACTGAGGTACAGAGTAACTTGCCCAGAGTGGAGTTCGGATTGTCACTCATCAGTGGCCTGATTCCAGAGCTTGTGCTCTTAACCGTTATGCTATAGGTAATTGTATAATGGTAATTAGTATATTGTTCCTTTGTCTTCCCTATCTCCCAAATAATATCATGGTTCTTTAGTATTTTCATGGCCTCTGAGGTTGGCTACTTTAGTACTACTTTGAACTACTACTTTGGTCTGTTTTATTAATCACATTTTATTAATCATGTTAAGCAGAGTATGTATTTACTATAGCTAAAGTTAAATTGATTTTCTTCATTTCCTTTAAAATCTGTGGTAAGATGATATAGACAATTTTTAGCTTTAAATTATATTTCAGAAGTACCATAAATGGTAGTATATTTCAATTCCGGCATACCTGTGAATATTGCCCCTAATTGTTCTCTTGTAGTTTGATTAAGTCAGTTTCCTTCTACATGTAGGAATGATGGGAATTGTTAGTATGGCTGATGGAAAGTGATGAGAAGGTCATAGAAATGATTTCTACCCTTTTGCAAACACACAGGGCATCTTTAAGTCACTTGTTGTACAGGAGCGGGCAGGACTCATTCCACACAGTTGTTGACCTCTATTATGTGCCAAGCGCTGAAATGATTTACATTTTCAAAGAATTGCTGTGACTGCCAAGCAGAAAACATTTCTACATAAAGAGAGCAGGCATCCGGGGGCTCCTTGGTTTGAATGGGGGTCATATCCTCACTGACTTCCCAAGGTTGGAGGAGTGCTGGGAGGTTGTCTGCCCTCCACACGTCACTGCAGTGTAGAAGAGTACGTGTAGATTGTCATACACTCTGTGTATGTTACAGCACATTCACATTTCCGAAAGGACTTGTCCCTTCGTAGGAGGGGTTGGTTTCTCTTTAAAATAATTGCCCCAGCTCCATTGTTTATTCTACATCCTTTTGCTTAGGAGTATATCCTTTGTGAAAATGAAGTACAGTACCTGGTAAAGTATCTAATATCATAGAATTAATGTATGTGTATGTGTAGAATTAATGTACCATAGAATTAATTAATGAATTCATTTCTTGGTTGTTTCTTAGAGTTCTTTAAGTGGCATAAGAATATATAGGTCCATTTAAAATCCATAGGTATTGTTGCCTTCTTAGAGCAGCTGGCCACAGTGTGTCAGTCTCATAAAATCCATAGACATTAAGGGAAAACATTAATAACTACCATCTTACATTCATTTTAAGATGCATTTTTTTCAAACTTTAACATCTCTGAAATTAGGATGCATTTTACAGTTACTGGCATCGTGGGGTTATGATTGGCAGTAATTTTTTTCACCCTGGCTCACTTTTTTTTTTTGAGATAGGGTCTTGCTCTGCACCCAGGCTGGAGTGCAGTGGCATAATCATAGCTCACTGCAGCCTCACACTCCTGGCCTGAAGCAATCCTCCTGCCATAGCCTCCTGAGTATCTAGGACCATAGGTTCATGCCACCATGCCTGGCTAATTTAAAAGAAAAAATTTTTTTTGGTAAAGATAGCGTCTTGCTATGTTGCTCAGGCTGGTCTTGAGCTCCTGGCCTCAAAGCGATCCTCCTGCTTTGGCTTCCCAGAGTGCTGGGATTATAGGCATGAGCCACCTTCCCCAGCTAGTATATTTTTCTTTGTTATTAGTATATTAAAAAATGGTGCATCTTACAGTCATCATCCTATATTTGATGAAAATGGTTTGTATTTAATCTTTGGACTCTTTGAGAGACATGTTTGGCAGAAAATTGAGTCCCGTTGAATTTTTTCTCTGCTCAAATAATATAAATTTGAAGTCATTTTGTATTCCTTATACTTGGGTTAGGAAGAAAAATAAAAGCCAGTTGTTTGTTTTCCAAGTACTTCATTATAAATTTGTTACAAAAAGTAATGGCCAGGCATAGTGGCTCATGCCTGTAATCCTAGCACTTTGGGAGGCTGAAATGGGAGGATCACTTGAGCCCAGGAATTCAAGACCAGCCTAAGCAACACAATGAGACCCCATTGCTATAAAAAGTAGAAAACAAAAATTAGCTGAGTGTGGTGGCATGTGCCTGGAGTCCCAGCTGCTCGGGAGGCTGAGGCAGGAGAATTGCTTAAACCCAGGAGTTTGACGTTGCTGTGAGCTATGATGATGCCACTGTACTGCAGGCTGGGTGACAGAGTAAGACCTTGTCTCAAAAAGAAAAAAATTATAAAATAGTACCACGTTTTAGAATTTCACTTTTGCAAGATGAAAAGAGTTCTGGAAAAACATGGATGGTTGCACAGCATTGTAAAGGCCACTGAACTTAAACTTGAAAATGGTTAAGATGATAAATTTTGTATTATGTATATTTTATCACAATTACACATTTTTTTTCAAAAAAATAATAATGTAATAGTCATAAAATTTTCCCTCCTTATAGAGAGGCATAGAACAAAAAGTGAAAGTCATCTTTACCCACACTTCCTCGGGCCCCTCATAATTTCCCTACTTCTGTACCTCTTCTCCGGAGATTTTGTGTATATCTTTTCAGATATTTCTCTTCCAAGACTTTCCACTGAAGATTTGTGTGGGCTTAATTGAACCTTCAAGTCACTTTTTCACTGTAGTTTGTACAGTTGTAACAGTTAAGTAAAATTTTTAAAAAATAGAACATAATTGGAAACCGTGGTTTTTTAATCTTAAGATTAAATTTGCTATTTCATTTATTCTCCATGATATGTTTTTCCTGAAAGTAGTCTGCATAAATGAATTATTGTAGCTAAGCTGCTTCAGCTCTTAATAACATAGCTTGAAGAAAGTAGAAGAAAAAGTGCAACTATGATAACCTTAAATTAATTGTTCAGCAGAAGGAGCCGTTACTTTGTTTCCTTCCAGTTGACCACTCATGTTTCCTCTGTCAATGGGTGAACAGTGGGCTAACAATTTGATTTTTTTGTTGTTGTTGTCTTTTGTTTTATAGAGCTGAGGAGTTTGTAGGTATCAGAAAATTAACCCACATATGTAGACCTTGGTGCTCTGGCAATCTGGTTTTCAGCCATAACTGAAACTTATCATAGTTATCCTGGAAGTATTTTAACACTTCATTTCTTTTTAGTTGGAGTTCTTTTTTCAGACTTTGCAATACCTGGTAGCCTGGGCTTCCATTAAGAGGAAGCAAGTAAATCAAATGTTCATCATCCTCTTGAATGTGGCGATTCAAAATGATCAGATATGTGAATTTCTGGAAATGAGAAGCTTGAATTAAACTGTTCTCTAACTGATATTTATTTCAATTCCAGAACGTGGTCCAAGACAATTCCTGGGAAAGTTGAATTCTTCTCTAGTGAGGGTTCAGACACATCTCTACCAATTCCCATAGTGCCACTACGGGGCGTGGATGACTCCTACCCCCCCCAGAAGAAGTCTTTTATGATGCTCAAGTACATGCATGACCACTACTTGGACAAATATGAATGGTTTATGAGAGCAGATGATGATGTTTACATCAAAGGAGATCGGCTAGAGAATTTTCTGAGGAGTTTGAATAGCAGCGAGCCCCTCTTTCTTGGGCAGACGGGACTGGGCACCACGGAAGAAATGGGAAAACTGGCCCTCGAGCCTGGTGAGAACTTCTGCATGGGGGGGCCTGGCGTGATCATGAGCCGGGAGGTACTTCGGAGAATGGTCCCACACATTGGCAAGTGTCTCCGGGAAATGTACACCACCCACGAGGACGTGGAGGTGGGAAGATGTGTCCGGAGGTTTGCAGGGGTGCAGTGTGTCTGGTCTTACGAGGTAAGAACAGAATCTTTTACTATGAGAAAAACTGTTAATTTTGTCATTAGTTCTTTTTCTTTTCTTTCTTTTTTCTTTTTTTTTTTTTTTTTACAATTTCAATTCCCCTATTACCTTTTCACTTGATTTTTACAGTATACCTTCCATACTTTTGTCCTCATACCTTGGTTAATAAATAATGGCAGTTGGAGCCTAAAGAAAAGATATGGTTTGCTGATGGTCACAGTGATATTTTCATGATTATCCAGAAAATCATCTTATCAACTTCTGCTGATTCTACAGCTGAAATTGCAAGAGTGTAGGGCATTTCCCTGACTCTGTTCTCATGAAGGCCTGACTGTTCTCATCTGGTCATGATGACCCGCACAGATTAGAAACTTACGTGTTTTGAATTTATAAAATGATTCATGATGTGAAAAAGCCAGTAGCTTGTGGCTTTGCATTTATTTTGAACCTTGACTTTTCAGGTGGTTATTGTAATCTGTGCCTTTACAGTGATAGTTGTTCCTTTCAAATAGGTGGTCTGCATTTTCTGAGTTACCTTGACACATAAGTGAAATTCATTGAAGGAAGTATGAAGTCTACTTGTGAACTTTTTAATAGTTCTAGGGAATATGAGTTAGCTTTGGACTTTTCTCTGTTATTATTGGCAGGTGTGCCTCTCTTGTCTTCAGTTGCAGGATCCTAATATTAATTAGAGTGAAAAAATTATTTATATGTGTTGTGTTTAGGTTGATAAACTGCTGGTATTTGTAAGGAACAGAGACAGTTGCTAGATCTTTTGCCAGAGAAAAAGAATACACTTTCTGTTGTTTTTATTTTAAATTTATTTTATTTTTAATTTCTTATATTTTTTCCCCCACAGATCATTCAGAAGGAAAGGAATGTACTTTCTGATGTGAACTGTTAGGTCTTTTTCTTTTTTCCCTTTTTTTTTTAAGAGATAGGATCTCACTCTGTCACCCAGGCCTGGAGTGCAGTGGCACAATCATAGCTCACTGCAGCCTTGAACTCCTGGGCTCAGGTGATCCTTTTACCTTAGTGTCCCGAGTAGCTGGGGCTACAGGTGCACACCACCACACCTAGCTTATTTATTTATTTTTCTTAAAGATGAGTGTCTCACTATTTTGCTCAGGCTGGTCTCAAACTCCTGACCTCAAGATACCCTCCTGCCTTGGCCTCCCAAAGTGCTGGGATTATAGGCATGAGCCACTGTGCCTGGCCTTAGCTCTTTTTTGAGTTAATTTTCTAAAGTACATACTTAAGTGAAGAAATAGTATTCTTGCCTGTACTTGTCTTCCCCCCAGACTTGCTTTTAAATGTCTTCTAATCACACTATTTCTTTTGTTTGAACTTCTGGGAAGTGGACATTTTCAAGTGTAGAGGGAGTGGTCTTCATGTAATTTTTAATTATAAAGTCATAAAGGTACATTTTAATTTGTAAATGTGATCTGAGTGAACCCCTCATTCTTTATGTGCCTTATGCTCTTCCCCAACTCCCATGCACAGTGACCCACCCCCCCCCCACACACACACACAGGAGACAGCTCACTGGGCCTGGGGGCTCTCTCTGTTGTCCTGTATTTTTGCAGTGAGGAAGGCTGTTTGAGGATTTCATGCTGTTTTAAGCATTATACAACTGGCAGTATTTCTGCATGTTCTCCATCCTTAATTAGGTAGTTATAACCTTAACATATTTCATTATAGTTAAAATATGTAATGCTTTGGCACTTTCCCCTGATCCCGATCTCTGAGAAGCTGGCCTTCTTGCTGGAACTGTAGAAGGTAGGCATATTTTTGAGAGAAAATTTTTAAAAATGTGTCTTAGTGTAGTCATGTTATATTCTGCTAGACAGACACCAGTAGAGCCGGTATCTTGAGTTTTATCGAGAACTTTGCTCTAGCTTTAGTACCCACATGTACTTAGACAACATCATCCTGGGGTTACAGGGCTCGGAGGCCGTTTGGGGCCAGTTTTTCTCTGAGATGATATAATCACCAAAGATTTCTAACACACTAAGAAGGGTGCCTGGAATTATCCTGTCTGGACACTTGACGCTGCCCCTAAGACATGATGCATGCTGTCAGGGGCCTTATTAGCCAGCCAAAGGGACCTGGTTGGTGAGGCAGCTCCCTCCCTGGGTGGTTCCCTGTTTCCCCACTGTGGGGCTGCAGCAGCCAGGACCTCCCTGGGAGTGAGGGTAGTCTGGGTGTGCCTGCTGCTCTGCGTTATTTTAAATGCCTTAGGATGACTGAGCTTTTGCTAGATACTGCAGGCTTGCTCTCCAGCACCTGGTGCTGGATGCCCTCCCACCACCAGTGCCCAGAGTTCTTTTTTTCTCTTCTGTGAGTTGCCTATTCATAGCTTTGGCCCTTTTTTCTGTTGGAATGTTGTCTGTCTTATGGTTTTGTTGGAGTGCTTTATTTTGGGTAGAGTATCTTCTCTCAGATTGTGATGTGTCTTTTTTTTATTTAAAAAAATCATTTTAGAGACAGGGTCTTACTCTGTTGCTCAGGCTGGAGTGCAATGTCCTGATCATAACTCAGTGCAGCCTTGAACTCCTGGGCTCAAGTGATCTTCCCTCCTCAGCCTCCTGAGTAGACTTGTCTTTTCATCTTGTGAACTTTTTATTACATGCAAATTGTGAATCTAAGTTCAGTCCAATGTATCATTCTTTTGCTTTTGTGTCTTATTTGAGAAATTCTTCCCTTCCTTGGGTCACAACAGATTTTCTCCTATATGTTTTCCTATACATTTAAAGTTTTGCCTTTTGAATCTAGTTCATTATCATTTTTAAGAATTATATCTATTGAGACATTTACCATCTTATTAGACCTTTGATTGTTTTTTTTTTTTTTCTTTCTGTGCTTTAAGTGCTTCTAATCTAAGTTGTTATTAGGGTGTATCATTGTGTTCACCACTTAGGTGAGCTTAATCCTTCATGTGGATGAGAAACTTTTATTAAACTTCCTGTAAATCTAGTTTCTCCATTATGGCTTGTATTATGAGAAATTATTGAGGTGGAGTCTTATGATGGAGACAATTATGTTAAGCTTTGGCTCTTGGAAGGTACTTATTTTGCCCTATTATAAACCTAGCCAGAAGGTATAATTTTTTTTTTTTTTTGCAAATAGAATTAATGCCTTTGGATAACACTTATGTAATTAAAATAACTGGTAAGGAACAACTGTCAAAGTCCAGATTCATTTCTAAGCTTGTTTTGATATTATTGGTAGTTATGTCTTAATAAATAGCTTTAAAATATTATTTGAAAATAATTTTAAATTCACAGAAAAGTTACAGGAGCATGAGAGAATGGGCCTTGAGGCTATAAACCTTGGAAAAGAGGTGAGAGGAGCTGGTCAGGGCTGGTGCACTTTGTCACATGGGGTCAGCATTATTGATTGACCCAAGTCTTATTTATTTATTTATTTATTTATTTATTTATTTATTTATTTATTTATTTATTTATTTATAGCAGCGTCTTGCTCTGTTGCCCTGGCTAAGGTGTCACAGTGGCAGCATCATAGCTCACTTGCAACCTCAAACTCCTCCTGGGCTCAAGTGATCCTCCTGCCTCAGCCTCCCGAGTACCTGGGAATACAGGTGCATGCCACCATGCCTGGCTAATTTTTTTCTATTTTTAGTAGAGATGGTGTCTCATTCTTGCTCAGTTTGCTCTCCAACTCCTGAGCTCAAGTAATCCTCCTGCCTTGGCCTCTCAGAGAGCTAGCATTACAGATATGAGCTGCTGCCCTTGGCCCATATGAAATTTTGTTGAGAAACATTACTCAAAAATTTGAAATAGTAATTTAATCTCAGTAAATATATGCAATTTATACTACTCCTTTAAGAATAGTATACTAAGAGAGAACAAAAAGCAAGTTGACCTAAATAAACTCTTCATTTTGTGTCTTTTTATTGATGACTACTATGAAAAGTGACAAGGTCATAAGTGTAGAGCTCAGTGGAGTTTCACACACTGCATGCAGTTGAGTAACCAGCACCCAGATCTTTCTTATATTGGTTTATGCAAAGTTTGACTAATAATGAAGGTGTTTGGGTAGATGATGATCATTATTAATGGAATTTGGAGATAGGTAAAGGTGGTTTGGCAACTTTATAGTGTTAGTGTTTTTAATAGCTAATATTGTCATGTTCAAAATTCAAAAGTGCAGAGGGTTTACAAGTCTTCCTACCTCTCTCTTACCACTGCCCCCCCACCCCGTGAGTTGGTCACCGTGGCATATCCTTACAGAGATATCATGTGGTATATCATATCATATACAAGCAATTAAGTTTATACATCTTCCCCCCTTTTACATGAATATGTTATACATACTATCTACATCTTGTTTTTCACTTAAATTTATTCGAAGATTTTCCCTTTGGTAGGTAAAAGAGCTTCATCTTTTTTATGGACATTCAGGCTGTTTCCAGTTCTTTTTAGCAGCATTTCTGGTCAGTCATTTCACCCAAGGCTTTTCCCACCTTTTTCCCATCATGGCATTCACACACACTGAGGAGACTGCTTCCAAGGGCTCCTGCTCCCACCCCCACACCGCCCAGACCTGGAGGGATTGTTACCATGAACAAGTTCTCCCCTGGAAGACAGTTCTGCAGGGAGAACTTGTTCATGATGTTTGTGTGTACCAAAATTCACCAGTTGTGAAGCTCTGAGTCGACCAGTAAGCATTTGTTAAAGGCTTATTAATGAGCCAAGAACTACTCTCTGAATTGATAGGGAAATTGCAGAAGAAGATGGAAACATGAATGGTCTTCTTTTTCTTCCTCAAGGGCTTCAGTGTAGTTGAGAAGACAAAGGCCATATGTTCATGAAATAGTTAAAGAGAAATTAAAAGTATGAAACCCCATGATAGTGATTTTAAATATAAAATAGTGGAAGGAAGGGTGAAATCAATGGTGTTCTATTTATGGGAAGGCATATGATCAAGGGAAATTGGAGTTTACAGCAAGATACATAAAAAGAAAAGATCTC